CTCTTGAGAATGCTGTGGACTGAGTCGCTCATCAGGTTCTTCTTGGCGTTGTATTCGGATGCGGGCAAGCTGAAGTGGACAGTTTCATGATTATTGGTGAAGGTGCGCGTTGTTGGGCTGCAGCTGACGCCGGATGATTCCTGGATCAGGAGGAAGAAATCGACCTCACTTGACATGGGCACTTTCTATGGAGAAATAATTCATTTGGTAGTAAATGAACGACTGCGAAATATGAGTCGCATTAAATGCAGTTGGATCTTTCATTGTAATGTACAGAGTCAAATTTCCCCGAATCAAAAATCTTCTCATCTTGATGTAAATAATCTCGGCTGGAATTTTGAAGAAGCGAAGATCATAATGGATTTCCTATACGCAGTACCGTCATGGAATAATAATGCCCTTTTAACCTGAATTAATCAAATTTACTCACTTCAATGGGCTATACATTTCAAACCCCCATTTTCAGCTAAAAGTTTTTCAACAATGCTGGACACAACACAAGTACTGTAAGTCTCCACAGCTGTTGACAGTTCACCATTGAGGGAGTTCCCATTTTTTAAGAGAAAAAAAACGATGAGAATTATTCCGAATCTTTTTTTCAGAAATGATGGATGGTAACCCTGGTGTCTTAACACCGCTGCTATTTAGCTTTTGTAGTCATAGATGAACCCGAGTCTGTCATAGAAAAATTAAATTAAGTTTTCATGAAAGACAGTATTGAGATTCTATTGAAGTATTGTAACAATATTCTCAAAAATGTAAGAATTTTGCTGTCAATCTTTTTTTAGGGTGACAAATTGCAATATTTAGAGGCATAATAAATTTGTCAAGCAGATGGAAATATCATCATTCTGCCTTCGAAATCTAGTGCTGATTCCTAGATGTTCTTTTGAGTTCTTTGTCTTTCGTTTTTTCTATGAATTCTATTTATTCATTTCTAAGAATAGCAGACCATTAAAAGAAACTTCAATTTTTAGCCATTGTAATTGAGAACCCGAAAAGGTCAGGATAAAATCTTGTTCGGCAAACTTCTTGGAATCAAAATTTTTTATGCAATACAGTATTGAGATTCTATTGATTCTATTGTGACACTGTTCTCAAAAATGTAGGAATTTTCCTGTCAATCTTATTTTTTGGAGAAAAATTTCAATATTTAGAGGCATAATAAATTTTCCAAGCAGATTGAAAAATCATCATAGAAAACTGAAGAAGTGGTAAAAATAAGATTTTCTTCTTGAAGCAATTCTGATAAATTTATCGGTTTAATCTGTTGATTTATTTCGAATGCAATTTTTGGGATTTTTCTCTCCTTTTTACGAAAAAAATTTCGGGGCAAAATGCAGAAATTCCAATAATTATCGTTGTGAACGCTGGAAATTTGCCAAAAAATTAGATTATCCTGAGTACGAAGAATTATTTACAACGGAGTTTCTCCTCTGCAATATTCCAATTCTCAGACGTGAAAAAATCCATCGAAATAAAATATTACAAAAACCCGACCTCCTCAAGGGTATCCAACTCTTGTTCCTCTCCCTCGACCATCTCATCATCATC